CCGTACCTAACATACTCCTACTCACAGAGTTCTTCCAATACCCTTGCTCTACTTCTTGAGAAGAAAATGAACCTGCTCCTCCCTCAGTCTCCTGCCGTGTGTCCATACGGGCCCCTCCCACCAGAAGTGGAAAAAGCTTGCTTTCTGATACCATTTATTTCCCCTACATATCACCCCGTAAGGCAATGCCCCAGCACTCCAACCGTGCCTGCTCAACAGAGATGCTGACAAATCGCTCAGGCTGAGGAGTGAAAGATGAATGAGGATTAATCAGTTTGCGGTCCCAGGAGTCGGAGCTTGACACAGAGGGATGACCCTCCAAGGGAGGAATTCTACTGGACGTGCTCCACAGGCGAGGAAGGGGGCATTCTTCTTGCAGGAGTTTTTCTGCAGTCTCAACACTCACCCAAAGCCACTAGAAACAGCACAAGCCACTTGTCCCCATCTGAGCACAGCAGCCAGGAGAACCCTGCGGCTCTCCCCTCCCCTTCTCTCTCATCCTCCTCCACCCTGGGCAGCCCCCAGGGGCTCTGAGGCCGAGGACAGGAGGACAGAGTGCATACAGGAGCCCTTCTGCAGCCCCTGGATGGCACCCTAAACTGACTTTCCAACAAGTAAAGTACCTTTCTCCAAGTCCCTCTCCTTTCTCCACAAAAGCTCTGAGTTCCTGAGGGGAATCCCAGCCGCCTCTCTCTGGGGATCCGTGATCCTCCGACTCCCTCTTCTGGTGAAGAATGGGGAGGGGGCTGTGCCCAGAGGCCCCTGTCCCCTCTCCCTCCCTGGCTCACCTTCCCTGCACCCAAGGACCCCAGCGCCCTTGGCAGGTGCAGACTACATGATCCTTCTCCCCTTTCCTGGCAAATAGCAAGGGACAGCCCTGTCTCCATTCAGGGTCAATGAGTTCACAGCCTCGAGTGTGAGCCACCAAGGGTCCCCTCCCTGGAGGGCAAAGGGACAACCGTCTTAGGAGAAATTGCTCTGCTGGTAGATTTTCAAAAGAAGAAAAATAAGCACATTTCTGAAACTGGGACAAATATAATAAGATGTTAAACCGGATTCTTTCTGTTTCTGCTGTGGCCCCAAAGGCTGAGAACAAAACAGTAGGTGCCAATCTCTTGCCCAGGTCCAAATGGGCCACCAGACATGTGGGTCCACCTGGTGGCCTGAGAGTCATTCTTGCAATGCCACCTGTTGGGGAAGAGGGAGCTTGGCCCTCTCTGGAGCTAAGTGAGAGGTTTCACAGGGCGATGCAGAGGGCTTGACTCATGTTCCAGAGGGAGAGGGGCAGAACTGGAGGAAAGCTGAGGCCAGCTGAGGCCACGACGCAGAGGGGAGAGAAAGAGAACAGGGCTTCCCTGTTGGGACAAGGATGCTTGGGTCCAAAGGGGCAGCACAGAAGGGAGTGACCTGCATCCGTTAGAATCTGGCCCCAAGCAACTGGAGACATGACGACCATCAGTTGCTCAAGGGACAAGAGAGGTCCTCATGCAGCCAGCTGGAGGAGACCCGTGGGCCCTTCTGACCAAGGAAGCCAAGGCCATAAAGCCTCCAAGAATCTAGGAAAACTCCCAACTAAGTGAGACCCAGCAGGGGAGTCCCACGAGCACAGGCACGGGTGGTTTCTGTGCCAGTCACCTAGGAACTTCCCTGATCTCCTACCCACCCCTCCAGGAGCCAGAGGCCACACAACGAGCAGGGAAGGAAGAAAAGAAGGGCAAGGCGGGGAGGAGAGAAGAAGCTGAGCCCCGTGTCCCCCAGCCCGGCACCTGCGCCGCCCCAGCCGGGAGCAGTTCAGCAAGGAGACGGGGAGGCGCTGGCCCTCGGGGTGACGTTCCGAGGCTGCTCGTTACGCTGACATTTGAACTGTGAACCAGCTGAATCGCGATTGCTTTTGTCACTGACAGTGCTTGGAGGATTTATTCTCTGAAAGGGACCAGAAATGTTATGGAACTTGCCAGAGCTTTCATTCAGGGTTAAGAAGAGAGCTAAGGAACGCCATAGGTTTAAAGGGAGAATTGGGGGGAAAAATAAAATTGTTTTCTTCTTGCACCCTCTAAAGATCAGAACAGGCAAAAAGTTATATATGCACCATCTCATTTTCTGTACCTCCAAATAACCCTATGAAGAAGGTCAAATTATTACCTCCAATTCACAGAAATCAAGGAGCTGCCCCAAGCTGGAAAAGGGCGGGGTAGGACTCAAGCATCCCACAAACTTAGGACCCACTAGTAACCCAGAGAGTAGCCCACTAGTAACCAACTTCTCCACCTTCTTCTGAGCAGCAACAGAGCGCCATGAAGAAATCAGCTTTACTCACAGCACCTCTCTTGGTGTTTGGCTCCTAGCAGGCATTCAGTCTGAATGAATGAAAAGACATTCAGCCATCAAATGGAGCATGGCTGCATTTCATAGATGTTGACGAACTATTTGGCTCAATTAAAATGAATCAGCCACTCTCATCTTCTCTTGCCCCACCCACTACCACCTCCCATTTTTCCATCCCCCAACCGAGACCGTGTAACAGTTCCAGCGTGGGAGTGACTAAGTGTCCCACCAATGTCCGCTCTCCCCATCTCCCTTCCTGGTATCAGAGCCTCCAGAAGTTCAGCTGTTCAGAAGCTGACCTTGCTCACAAAAGACTACAATTCCCGGCCTCCTTTGCACCTAGGTGTGGCCATGTGACCAAGCAATGAACCATGGGAGGTGAGTGGAAATGACACGCGCTACTTACAGGTTATGAACTTAAGAAGAAACCGCCTTCCCCTCTCTTCCTCTTTTCCCACAGTCTCCATGGGCATGAACTGGGACCTGGGGGTGGTGAATCAGCTTCAGTCACTGCCCCAGGGCAGTGGTTCTCAATCCTGTCTGGACACTGGAATCACCAGGAAAAGACTTTTTTGAAAAAAAATCTTGATGCCAGGGCTCCATCTCTTCTGACTTGATTGGACCGGGTATGGCCCGGGCATCAGGGACTTTCGAGGTTCCCCAGAGAATTTTTATGTCTAGACAAGACAGAGGCTAATCATACCAGCGACTAGGGGATGCGTGGAGCAGCAAGATAAAAACATATCGGTCCCTGAATTTCCTCTCTTCCTAGCAGTCTGCGCACCCTGGGCTGCCTCCTGCCTTTCAATAATTATGTGACAGAAACAGAAGCTCCTTCATGTTTGAACTGCTGCCCTCCATCTGGAGTTGTTACTGCACTTGTCACTGGGCCTCACCTAGTCCAACCGCTGAATCCTGCAGCCTTCAGTCGTTGATGCCGGGGATTCACGTGGGCTTGATTTCTCTGTAAGACCCCGGGGGCTTAGGAGTCGAGCCCCATAACATGAATTTGCAAGTCCAGGCTTGAAATTCTTGAAATTCTCCTTATTTTCCAGACACCCTGGCTGCTGGTGGGGTATGGATTTGCCTTTAACCTCATTTTAGACCAGCTTTGCAAACATAGACATCAAACTAATTGGCCTGCTCACTTTCCAAGAAAGATCTGGCTGATTTTGCTTACCCTCTGGGAGAAAAGTTTCCTTTCCCCAAAGTGAGTGACTCCTGTGAGCCTGAAGGAGTGGATTCTGTAGAATGTAAAATGAGACTCTCTTTCAGCAGTGAAGCATCTGTGTTTCCCTGCAGGGTCAGTGGGTCCAGGTTTGGCCAAGCACCCAGGTACCCACCCACCATTCACCTGGAGATGCGTGCAGAGACATGGCACAGCAGCCCTAATATTTATGGGCTAAATGAGGTAAATTGTACTGGATTAAAAGCAGGTGAGGGCCTCTTATCTGCTCATTGAATTCTGACGAAGCTAAGGATTAAAGGTGAGAAGCATAATAAGTGGTTTTGCAAACCACCTAAATTTTTTTTCCTACGAGGACTTTCCATGCAACTTGTGAGAAATGTTTTATTCACCACGTAACCCTTAATCTCAACCCACCGTCCAATCCAAATATGGTCCCAGTGGGACCCTTTGGGGCAATGCTTCAGGGCTTTGGACAGAAACCAGTGACAAGGGCACATGCCCAGCCACACAGGGTGTGACCTGTAACCACTCTTCCAGGGTTTCTCAGCAGTGGCACTGAGATTTTAGACCAGATAGTCTTTTGATGTGGAGGGGGAGGGGCTGTCCCGTGTGTGGTAGGATGTTCAGCAGCGTTTCTGGCCTCTACCCACTAGATGCCAGTAGCAACACTCCCTGCCCCAGTCTTGGCAACCAAAAATGTCTCCAGACACTGCTAATGTCTTCTGGGGGCAAAGCTGTGCCCTGACTGAGAACCTCTGGTCTAGACGAATCTCATGAAGAAAGACGTCACAGCTGCATCTCCAGGACCCAGCACAGTGCCTGGCACTTAGGAGGGGCTCAATAAACGCTTGTTGAGTGAATAACAGAAGAGGAGGTGGGAGGGGCACACCAAGGCCCAAACCTCCAGAAGCACCTACTGCACTGGTGCGGCAGATGTGAAAATGTGTGCTCGGGGGGCAATGGACTGAGGCCCCCAGCACGTGCACGCCAGGGCCAGGCTGCCCACAGGTGCTCCCAGCCAGTGACCTTGCACGGTGGGAGTACTATGCAGATCCATTCTCCCAAGATACAGGCTCAAGGACACCCCGGCAGCCTGGACAAAACCTTCTTGGTCTCAGACGTGCCCACCGTGCCATGGTCTGAAAGCCCTCACTGACCTCCTTCTCCAGTTCCCACCCTTGATTCTTCACAGGTGTTCCCCCTAATCCCATCCTGGCCTCTGCTTCTTGGTGGATCTGAAAAACACACCTGGCATTCTAGAAAGATGCCTTTCCCCAGTCCTCTCTTCTTGTGGGATGCCACACCCTGGGGCTTCCCCCTGGGGATCTCTGTTGATGAAAGCATCATGCACAAACCAATTTAGACAGGGAGGGAGTTCTTGGAAGAGATTCAGTTCCTTTGTCCAGAAAAAACCAAGGAGACATGAGTTGATCTCATAAATAGCTAATAAAACCAGACAAACACTCACATTCCAATCCAAAAACACTTTTACAAGTTAACCTTTCATTGGAGTTAAGGCAGTAAGTAAAGTCCTCTGGTTCACATGACTTTCTTCTGACCAAGGGAGGAGAGGTCGGGGGAAAGAGAAGGACTTGGCCATTGGGAGCCCAGCCAGAGCCCTCTTTTCCATAATCCACCCCATTGTGTCTCCCCAACCCTCAAAAGTGATCTTAATACACATTGGTTCCCAAGTAAGCATGCCCCGTGGCCCCATCCAGCCAAGTCTGTGGGAACAAATTCCCGGCCCAAGGTCCAGGGCTCAGCCCGCTTTCCCCTCGGCCAGGCTCTCCCAGGGGCAGATGACCTCCTTTATGGCCTGGTCACCCCGTTCTCCTGTCCCGGCGTCCTCCGAGTCCATCAGGCAGGTCCCGCTCCCCGTCGGCACATCCATTTTGATCTGGAAAAAGCTTCAGGCAGAAGAGGAAAGCAAGTGTGTGGGGACAGGAGGGTCACCTCATCCCCAGCCCACCCTGACATCCCTAAAGAGAAGTGAACACAGGTGTGATTTGCCAAAAGCCATGGGTGCAGCCATGGGCTCGGCCAATCCTTTTCATTGGGGATGGAGACTCTTATTTTCCTGCTGAGTTATGGGTAATTCAGAAAATGGTTTATTTTCATTTTCAAGGGACTTGAGCTTTCACGGTTTTGATGAATTCAGGATGTCCCGAGAAAACATACTGAGACTTAATCCTCTGCCCTTTAAACTGCCTTCTGATGAAGTGGTGGCTGCTGAGGAAAGAGCTTTTAAAAAGCCCCAAGCCTGTATGTGCAGCACAGTTGTGGCCACAGAGCTAGAACATTCCCTCAGCAAGGCCAGTTCACCCTGGATCCCGACACCCTACTCCCTTCCCCAGCTGCCACAGACAGGAGAGGAGCAGTAACCTGCGCTCCCTCCCGGCTGTCCCCATCTGCACAGCAGAGGCCGTGGACTTGGGTATCCATGGCAACCCAAGACCTCAGCAAGGCGCCTTCTTTCTCCAAGACCAGGCAGGGCCAAACACAGGCACATGTTGGTTGGTGCAGGGGTGCCCCCCCCCACTGTTTCCCCTTAAACAAAATAAAGGTGGGGGCTGACTCTTTGTTTTGCATTGACTACAACTTTTCTTTCTGCCACTGGTCCAGGAGTAATCAAGTGCCCCTTAGAGCCTCTGTTCTGCACCCAGAGAGCTGCCTCGGGACACTGGGGGTCTCGGAGGTCAGGCTGACAGCGTCACCCACAGCGGAGCTTAGAGAGGCCACCCCTGGACAGAGACTGGGCACTGTCAGGATAGCTGCCAGCCCTTCTGAGCAACTGTGCAGGTGTGTGCAGGAGCGGGTGGGGGAGGCGAGGGCGCCTAAGGCAGGGGAGAGGGTGCTGGAGCCCCAGTACCACCCCCGCTGCATCCACCTCCTGTGGTTCCACGGCTGACCTTTAAAAATGCGATGGATTCATTAGACTAACGTTCTTGGCGGGGGCAGGGTGGGTGGAAATGCATTGAAGAGGGAAAAAAGATGGAAAAGAAAGATACCCTTCTTTTCCTCAGGAAGACAGAGGAGGGCAGCACTGAGTTTTTGGAAACCCTCCAGTGGCCAAGGGGTTTCAATGGCCCATCAGAGGCGTCTGCTCTCCCAGAATCCTCATTACCCAGCGCCCGGCTCTAGATCACCACGTTTGCATCACAGAGCCTCAGTCTTCAACAGACATCCGTGCACGTGCGCACATGCACACACACACACACACACACACACACACTCTCTCTCTCTCTCTCTCCTCTCTTCTTACTTTGTTACCCTCCTGGATTTCAGCCGTGGCAGCTGCTGGCCCACATCCCCCAGGGGCTGCACCTTCCCATGGGACACAGCAGGGCACTTGGGTGACAGCCTGGCAAAGACTGGCGAGGCCAAACAGCCTCGTCTCAGAAACCTGCTGAAGGACAGAGCCATGCGGGCCTGGGGAGGGGCCCGGGGCCGGGGCCGGTCCCTGGAGGTCTCGCTGGTCTCAGCATCCGAGGACCCGTGGCCGGCACCGGATCCGCTGGCTTCCCCCTTCTGCTCCAAGCCCGAGGAGCTCTCCAATGCCACTCTGATGGGTGAGGGGCAGATGGTGCTGGGCCGGCGGATGAAGCGGCAGGGCGAGGGGAAGGGCCTCCTGGGGGAGCGGCACTGAGGCGAGAAGGGGCTGGAAGGGGAGGGGGGCACGCAGGTCCCGGTGTACACGGCCAGGTGGGGGCTGGGAGCCGTGTGCTGGCCCGGCTGCAGAGAAGGAAAGAGAGTTCAGGGTGAGTGCGTGGCTGGTCCCCCATCCGTCAGCTGCCCTCGGCTAACTTAGCCCCTTCCAGTGCCCGGAGCACAGGCCAGGTATAGCTGCTTCCCAGGGATGTGAGAAGGGTGCCCCATGCCACCCAAGACAACGGCACAGTCATACACAGCCGTCCTGCTAAGGGCTCAGCCTGTCTCAAGCCTTGGCCACGTCCCCAGAGCCGGGCGGTTGCATCCCAGAGCACCGACTGGCCTTCTTCCAGGCCTGGGCTGCTGGGGTGTGGCCAGGCTGAACTCCCAATCGCCCACCAACTGTGCCCCAAGGGAGCCATGCTGAGTGCCCACCCCACCCCATCTCACCCGTCTGTCCTTGTCCTTGGTGCCACCTAAGGGCTGGAGGCCTTTAAAACTCTTTTAACAGAGCAGAAGGAGCCCTCGCCATGCTTGCGCTGACTCCCAGGCCTGAGACCACCCGCCTCGTCCTGGACCCTGACCACGTCCACACTGACCACACCTCGGGGATGGCCCAGCCCTGCACTTTTCAGTGCCTCCCGCAGGCACAGCCGCGGAACCTGGACTAGCCACGGAGAAGCAGGCAGGAAACAGGGGGTGAGGAGGTTACTTGGTGGAGAAAGAGGACATACGTCAACGTCTCCGGGCCACGGTGGCCCGTGTCCTGGTGCGCTGCGGAAGGAGTGTGGGACCAGGTGTGTTTCAGCTGCAGGAGCCTGAGAGAGCTAGTCTGGGCTGACAGTGGAAGTTAAAATTGGAATTTAAAGGGAGGCTCTCCGCCCTCACCTCTCTTGGACCTGGTTTCTTGTCTCCTCCCGAAGGCCTGCCGTGGCCACGTGCCACATCAAAGCCCCGTGTGAACAGAACTGGAGGATGTGCTGGTCCTGGTGGGGCGGGGGACCCCCCCGGGACAGTTGGACCAACACTGTCTCCAAGAGACTCGGAAATGACTTCAGGGCAAAACAAACCCTCTTTGAAATGCCACAGCCACCCGGACATCCCGCTCAGAGGGAGCTGCCTGCCGCCGGGGCCTGGGCACCGCCCTGGGGTCAAAGGAGGGCAGCTCTGGGCGCGGAGCTGGGGGCAGCTAGCTTCAGAGGAGTGCGGCCAGTCCCGACCCAAAGAGGGAAGGGCGGGCACATCCAAGAGCATCCCTGGGAGGAAAAGCAAGGCCAGGCGGCCACAGAGGGCTTTGTTGTGGGGGACAGGGGGGTGGCCTCCATTCTCTCCCACCAGCTCCTTGAAGTTCAAGTAAGATCCTGTTCTGAAACAGCAGCTCGGAGCCACTGATTCTGCTCCACTGCTCAGACGGGCTGCCACACCCGAGCTGAGGCCCACACCTGAGGCCACAGGGTTTCATAGTATCGTCACTATTATTGGTAACATGCACCGGGAATTTAGCAAACCCACGTGAGGTTCTGGGCTGAGCCCTTTGTGAGGATTATTGCATTTACCTCCCAGAGCCACTCAGTGAGGCGGCTAACTATTATTATGGCCATTTCACAGATGAGAAAACTAATGCTTCCAGGAGCCAAGCCCCAGGACTGCTGGGAACGCTGGGCAGGCTTTGAAACCAGGCTCGCTGGCTCCATAGTTTGCATGTGTAACGCTACCTGGATGGCTCAGGGCGCCTGCAGGTGAGAAGCACCCAGGGTGCCTGTTATAAGTGTAGATCCCAGCAGCACCCCAGCCCCACTGAAGGAGAATCGCAGGGGGTGCGACTCAGGAAAGCATCTTCTCACAGACACCCGAGGGCACTGCTTGGTTCTTCTGCCCAGTAAGTTTGAGGAGCTCAGCACTGTGCTTCTAACACCTCCAGGGACACGTGTCCCCCATTTAGGACAAAGTCTGCAAAGAACAATAATACCAGTAGTGGGGGAGGTTGGGCCCTGGTTAAGGATTTGGGAGTCGATGTTTAGGTGAAAGAGTATGGCCCTATAATTTATTAAGATCTACTACGTGCTATGTTCTTTGAATCTATAATCACCCCATTTTAGAGAACCGAATATTGAGACCCAGAGAGGTTCATTACCATCCCCCAGGCTCTCCCAAGAAACCAGTGACTGTGGAATGTAGAACTCTAATGTGGCCACCAAAATTCCTGTCCTATTCCTTCAGGATGGGTGTGCACTGTAAACGTCAGGGAGAGTCACCCCCATGGTCAGGCTATGTGACACGGCGTTAGGTAACTTTCAAAAGGGATTATCTGGGTGAGCTTGACCGCATCACATGATCCCTTTAAAACTGAGTCTAGAGGCCAGAGACAGAAGTCAGGTTTGAAGCATGATAAAAATTCAATGAGGGAGAAGTTCTCCATTGTTGACTTTCAAGATGGAGGGTAGGAGCATGTGGCAAAGAATTCGGGCAGCTTCGAGAAGCTGAGAGCAGCCCTCGGCTACCAACCAACTGAAAAAAGAAAAGGGGGGAGGGCTCGGTCCTATAGCAAGAAACTGAATCCTTCCAACAACTTGCAGAAGGCTGGAAACAGATTATTTCCAGGAGCCTCCAGGTAAGAACACAGACAGCCCGGTGACCCCTTGACTGTGTGCCCTGAGCAGAGAACCCAGCCAGGTCTCACCTGGCCAACCGTGAACTTAATAGATGTTTGTGCTGATTTGTCACATGGCAATCGAAAACGAATACAGTGGCCAAATAAGAATCTGATCCCAGGTGCGAGTCACCCCAAAGCCCTTGCTTTTTCTACTGATTCACGTGGCTCTCCCGTTGCCTGGGGGGTCTGGACAGGACTTGGGGTCCTGGGGAGTGGGCTGAAACAGCAAACTAGGGAAGAGAGACAGGAGGCATCAAAGTTCTCCTCCCTCAACAAGTTGACTGAGGACACCCCCAGCCCCAGCTCATTAACTTAAAGCCCACTTACTCAGAGCATGTGATAAACGCCTGTTCTAATCCACACTTTACAGATGAGAAAACAGAAGCTCATGGAAATGATGCCACTTGATCAAGATTATACAGCTTTATGACAGGATGAGCCACCCGTATCCCCCACCAAATTCAGTGCCCTCCTCCCCACCTCACGCCTCCCCCAGCACCTTCTTTTTTCCAGGATGAATGACAGGACAGGTAGGGAAGGCGGCCACCATCCTGCTTCACTTACCTGGCCCGAGAAGGTCCTTTCTTCTGGGCAAATAGCCTGTTAGCCCAAATGGCCCTGGACACTCCAAGCAAAAGGCCTTTTCTACCCCCTCCCACCATGACCCTGGCCCCTCCCACAGGGGCGTGGGGCTTGTGCTTGGAGACCCCGCCCCCAGCCCAGGCCACGCCCACTATCAGCGTGTGGCAGCGAAGCAGTGGCATGCAAGGCACATGGCACAAAGAAATGACACACACAGACACAGTGAAGGAGAGCCCGGCTTGGCTCTGTGCTGCTGCTTTATTATGCAAGGGAACCAGGAGAGCTGGGGAAGGAGCTTGAAATGGAGCAGGGTTGTGGCCGTGAGAGGACAATCAAGGCTTTTTAATGAAAGGCAAAGCACGTGGCACAGAGATGCAATTCACTTCCTGTCCAGAAACTGGCTGAGAATTTGAAGGAGACCTTGTGGACCCCTGAACTCCCACTTCCTGGGAGCAGGCAGGAGCAGATGGCTGCATTCCGGCTCAGCATGCAGTGAACCATCCCCGCTTCCAGCCCCCTCTTCCTCTCCCCACTGCCCCACTGCCCCCAAAAGCAAAAGAGCGAAGTTGGCCCCTTGGAGAAAAAAATCCACATGGGTGAACACACCATCTCTCCTACCAGTCGTCTCATCTGTCACAGCCCAGCATGAGACCTTCCCATTTTGAACGGACCCTCACTTCAGCCGTGAAACTTGGGACCAATGGACTGACCAGTCACTGTACTGTTACTGCTCAGCCCTCTCATGGGAGATGCAGACAGATGACATGACATCAACACCCTGCTTCCCTCCCCTCAAATATATCCTAATGGTCCCTGGGGAGTCCAACTCTGAGAGAGAAGAGAAGTAAGATGGTTTGGGTCAATGATGCTTTAAACGCACCTCAGGAAATGCCCTGAATAATAAAGAATAATGAATCACTGTTCTGGGCAACACTGACAGATGCAAGAAAACACAAGCTTACTTTAAGATCAGGAAGCTACTAGGGATGGTGAGGGTGATGGTGAGGATGATGGTGGTGATGATGATGGTAGCGGTGATGATGACGATGATGATGATGGTGATGGTGAGGATGATGGTGGTGATGGTGATGATAGTGGTGATGATGGTGATACTGATGAGGAGGGTGATGGTGAGGATGATGGTGATGATGGTGGGTAGTGGTGATGATGACGGTGATGATGATGGTGATGGTGATACTGATGAGGATGGTGAGGATGATGGTGGTGATGGTGATGATGGTGGTGATGATGACGGTGACGGTGGTACGGATGGTGATGGTGATGGTGAGGATGGTAGGATGGCAGTGATGGTGATGGTAATAACAATGGTTATGATGATGATCACAGCAGCTAGCATTACTGAACACTTGTACGCCAGGCATTTTCCTAAGCACTCTACTTGCATTTTCTCGTCCTGAGTCCTTGTACTTCCACGCAACCCTCAAAACAAAAGCAGTATTTTCTCTAAAAGCCAAGCTTGAAAATGAAATTCTACCAAGGGAATCCCGGTACCTTATAGCATACCTTATATTCTAGCATAAGATATACACCACCATGGCGAGAGAAACTCAAGCTGTTTAACGCATAGCAGTAAGGAATTAAGATGTGCCTCAGTACATAGCATAACAAGAGAATATCATGATTTCAATGTAACAATAACATTGTCCAAATAAATACTATTTTTTATGCTATTTGAGATTCAAATGGGCCCTGTGGGGCTACTATTATGTCTGATGCCTAGAAACAAAGCTAGCAGGAGCGCAGGGGCCACAGGCTGGAGTCTAGAAGCAGACACTTTCACAAAACCTCAAAACGGGGCAGGGACCTGTGGCTCCTTTCCTACAAAACATGAGAATTTTCTGGCAGATTCTCCCTCAATCCCCCAGGTCAAACAAAACTGCCCCATCTCTGTGCTCTCCTAGCATGTTGCATATGCTCTACACCATCCAGCCTCCATCACGTTCCATCTCATGTTGTGGCTGTTGGCATCTATGCACCCTTGTCAGCCCCTTGAGGGTTGAGGGACAAGAGAACATCTTGTCCATTTTTGCATCTCTGTCCTAGAACCACTGAGTACCACCACTTGCTCTCACACAAAACAGGGATTTAAAATACATCTGTGGAGGGGATTAAGAGGCACGCATTACTAGATATACAATAAATAAGATACAAGGACGTAGTATACAGCACAGGGAATGCGGCCCATATTTTACAATAACTATAAATGGAGTATAATCTATAAAAATATTGAACCACTATGTTGTGCACCTGCAACTAATGTAATATTGCAAATCCATTATACTTCAATAATGAAAAATAAATAAAATAAAATACATTTGTAGACTGTAGCTCCTGCTATCTAGAAGGGAAGCCATTTATCACCTCCCTGCCTTTAGATGAGTAATGTTGAAGCACTTAATTATTCATCCATCTAATAAAGAATGATAACCTACTTGACATGCCTGTGCCTCTCCTTAGATTGTGGGATCCTTGTGTGTCTGACGTTGAGAAGGCTTCCATCAATAAGTTTGGTATACCTACTATGTGTCTGACACAGAGCACCTGGAAGTCTGTTGGAGGACGGGATGGGTTAAATCAAAACTGAACAAGACGTAGTTTGTGCCCTGAAGAATTCATGACTTACTTCGACACTCCCACCATCCCCATCCCCATTTTGCTAGGTGTGTAATCTCAGCTCACGTAGGGTAACTAGGAGGGATGGCAAATACCTCTAGTTTCATGTTTCTCAAAGTTTCCCATGGAAGTAGGCCAAACAGCAGGAGAGCCATGGAACTATGTTCTCCTGGGAGTCTGAGGGCAAAGCCTCAATCTGCCACAGCCAAGCAAGAGATGTCTTTGATGTCTCAAATTTTATCTTAAAAAATTCATGTACATCTTGCGGTCTAATTCATAATATATTCATGATTGTTTTTATGTGAAATTTCAAGAATTATCTAACTTTCCTCCCATTCCAAATCTTCAAACTTATGCTCCAGGCTGGGTATCTTCCTGAAATTCACTGAGTCTGGTTTGAGAAGCATGAATCTGGTCCCAACCCCTCATTTCACAAATCAGAAAGCAGAGAGGTGAAGTGACTTGGTCAAGACCATATGGTTCATGGTAGAATGAGGACCAGAGCCTAGGAGGCATTCTCCAAATCCAGGGCCCTTTCCACTCATCCACCCACCCATCTATCCATCCATCCATCCATTCATCCATCCATCCACGTAATACTTGTTTCTACAGATCTAGATCTCAGGCATTAGACTCCAAATGGTGAGTGAGATACTCAGTTTACAAGGGTTCATTACCTGGAATTTCTGCTTGGGGTTCCCTCCCTGAGTTGGAGAAGTCCAACATTGTTCAAAAGTGAGATGAACTCTCTAGTTACTCTTTCAGAGTGTAAACTAGTCTATGACTAGGGAAAACGGGGAGAGTAATAAAATCATTTTGCTAACATGAAACCAAGAGCCTCAAACTCCTTACAACAGCCTAGAAAGTCCTCCTTGGCCTGGCCTGCCCACTTCTCTAAGCTCATCTTGTACCACTTCCCCACCCTGGTCCACCAGGCTCCATTCATCTGGCCTTTCAGTCCACTCTGAGCCATTTCCCACTTCTGGGCTTTGGCTCATGCAGCTCCCTCTGCCTGGAAAGCTCTTCCTGCCCAGCCCAAACTCCTTGTATGGTCAGCTCTTTCTCATCCTCTGCTCATCTGTCATCACCTCAGAGAGCCCTCCTTAGTCTACACACCCCTCATCTTCCCTATCACAGCACCATATCCATTTCCTTTAAAGCACCTTCTCCAGATTCTATCATCTATTTGTTTGACCTGCTGATTGCAGTGATGGTCTCAGTTCTTCAGCCTTCCCTGACTCCTTGTCTTTTGCCACAAGACTTTGAAATTTCCCTCACTGAAGAGGTAGAATCAATTTCTCTATCCATGATTCTAGGCTGGACTTGTGACTTGTTTTGGTTAATAAGATGAGGCACCAGTTCCAAACCTTCATCTCAAGAACCTTATGTGTTTCCATTTACTCCCTTGCAATTCTACTACCATCACAGGATCAGCCTAGGGATGTTGAAGGAAAAGAGACATGTGAACAGAATCATTTCACTCATCCTGGCCTGGGTCAACCCCTACCAGGTGTAGGAGGGAGCCCCACCAAGAGCCACAGAGCCACAGAGATGACCCTATGTTTATAAGCCAGAAACACTTATTCTTGTATACCATTCTAGTTTGTGGTTGTTTGTTACACAGCAATGGCTGCCTGATATGCTTGGCTTCATTATTTTTTGTCAGTCCTAGATCTAAGCTCCATGAGGCAGGGGCC